CTTATGCAAGAAAAATATTTCAAAATGTGAAAAAAGTCCTCTTGGTTCAAGAAAAAAAATTCTTATCATTATCAAAAATATTATAAAGCCTTCTATTGTATAGGACAAATACAATGTGGCCGTGCCGTCGAGGTGGGAAGCCGTTTCTAATTGAACTTGGTATTCATTGTTGACTCTTTTTTTAAATGGACATTTTACAGTTCAAATCTTACTAGAACCTCGTATTAAGTTTTTTGAATTTTTTGCCATCCTTAGTTTCTCAAAAATCTGTTTCTGGTAATAAAAAAGGTGTTATATAATAAGGGTAAAGCCAAGACATTGAAGTTTTCCCGTAGTCTTTTTTTGCATCTGGCTATATATTCTACTCTGCTACATTGGAAATGTAAAATATTTAACCTTTTAAAACTCTGCTTACCTTCATTCGTTTCAAAGAAATGTTTAGTTTGATTTTTTCATTAATTTTATTAATTTGTGATTAAAGTGTGATAATTTTTGTGAGCGTACTTGATTTTAAGCATTGATTTGATCCTCGTTCAAATTATGAGTGAAAACAGACAGGCGAAATCATTCATGGACAAAAGAAAGAATTTTTATTTGAAACAAGTCTTTAATTTTCAATATTTTTAGGTCAGAGAAAATGGGACAGGAAGGAGAGAAAAAACTTTTAAAAGCAATAGCTATGATTGCTCTTTTTTCCAATAAGAAAACTGGATCAATTGGAACATCATATGCGAAACCCCAAACGACAATTCCACATTAGAGAAAAGAAGCAAACAAAGAGTTGACATTATAACACATCGACAGGAACGAAACTGTTTGAAAGAATGGCTGTTGGGCAACAAACCGACTTTGAATGTAACCAAGGTAATAAGATCTAGACCCAATTTTATAAGGATGTGTACATTTGTGATCATTTGACTCTCCTACATTTGTGATCGATGATTCCTGTCTTTATGTTCTTATAAAAACAAGAACACAGATTTGTCTGTAAATTTTTTGTTAACAGTTTATGATTGCAATTATTTTATATGAATGTAATTAGTTTCCTTTCAAAATTATTTTTTTAGTAGATTTTGAATTTGTAAAGTTTTCAGCACGGCTCCCTGAAAACCAGTCATTCTGACTGACGGAGAAAAATCAGTAATTCTAATTAAATGGAATGAAAATGAAAATTGAATGCATGGTCGCAAAAATTTTCTTCCCGCTTTGCTCGCAGGGGGCCTCTTTTTTCCGCTTTGCCCCAGGGCAGCCGAAACCTATCGGCGGCCCAGGACCTAACATAAGATCAAGCGCAGCTAAATTTATCAAAGTTAACTGTAATGTTTTACTAATGTTTGTTTCATAACAATTAACTTCCAAAAAACGTTTTTTGCCGGGAAAACGTGGAACATTTCACTTGGTAGGAGATCGCTGGCACAGGGGGCATTCACTAGCCTGCCTGGAGCCCCTACGGTATCTATCCTATCACATCATGAAATCGAATCGTTGATAAATGAATTCATATGAAACCATACACAGGCTTAATCTTTATCTTTATGGGGGTAGGGGGTGCAGCAGGCACCGCAGAGCGTTTTAGAAAAGGGGGGTTGAAGCGGAATAAACAGAGGCTTCCCTTGTGCTCAGTTTCTAAATACCTAACGTTTTCGGCAAAAGGTGAGTGCTATAACCCCCCTCCAGCCCGCGATCCCTTTTCATGACATTTATGATATTGTGAAACAAAGACATTTCCATTTTATAATTATAAACAGACTTGTATTTTACAGACTTATAAATTATTTTTCTTATAACGCTGACCATCCTTATGACTTTTGTTAAAATCAGGCTTTACATGATAACAACAAAAACGTTGTCATTTATTAACAGTCACACTCACTGACGATGCATTTCTTGCACTTTGAGCAGTCTTCTTCATTCGCCTCACGATATAGAAGAACCAAAAAGCGTCACATGCAGTGTCTGCAACTAATAGGGAAAATGCAATGCTGAATATCTTTCCATTTAGGGTGCTGCAATTCGGCACCTGTTTAAGAAGGGGAAACATCACGATGCTTGGGAGATTGAGTACGAAAAAGGTACTTGTTATTCCGATAAATAAACTCATGAGATGCTTCTTTTGTCTTTCATTCCTTGTCGAGATGCGGCTTATTTGTTGCTCACTGGTGTTATCCTGCGCTGATTCGATTCGGTTACCAGCAGCTCTGACTGTCCTGAATATCTTGATATAAATGCCACATAGCATAAGATGCACACAAATACGAGATGCAGAAATAAGAATAAAGAAGACAACGTAGTATTCAAAAATGGCACTGGGAATACCGCAAAGGCAACCAATTAGAAAACACGAACCAGTTATCTTGTAGACTACTTTCTTGTCTCTGTTAGGCTGCTCAGGGCTTCGATGTTTCAAAGGATGGGTAACAGAACCCAGTTTCTTTAATGCCAAAGCTAGATTAGCCCCAAGGCTAATGAATGAAGTTGAGAGCGCATATGAAAGAAAAAGTGCTCGCGGAAAAACTGGCCAAGAAAAAACTCCAGGGTGCTCTAAAAACCTTTGTATGCAAACCAACAATGACATGAATACATTGGAAGCTCCGATGAAGCTGTAATGAAAGCCAACTTTGATTTCCGGGGTCATTTTCTTATGTACCCAGTACAGCATAAGCATGTTTACACCGAAAGATAACAGTGCAACTGCAATGATAAAAATCGAGCATGCTTCAATTTTATCATCCATTTTTAGATTTTCTGCCAATATGATGTTGTGAGCCTTTATCTTTCTAATACTGACACTGCTGATCTTCTCTAAACAGAGCTTGATTCAATTGTACGAAGCTATAACAAGTATCACACGTATATGCTTAGTAGAAAGAGTTCAGCAATTAATGCGAATAATTCATATCTTGTCGTTTTTCAATGAATAATTTATTACTTTCCATATATGGGCCTTTTCTATGAATGCAAATAAAGAGCTCGGTTTTTTGCTTGAACCGAAATTGCCAAATTTCAAGCTCCATCACCAACCAGCTGACCGAGGTCTACTGAGAAACAAAACAAAGTAGGAACTAAAGAACGTATAAAAAAGGGGAGGAGAGACGGGTTGGGAAAAGACAGATACGAACTTGCTTTGCAAACGATTATTACTTATAAGGATTTAGCAATGATTATTCAAAAATTGATCACATTTAAAGATGCGCTTTGTATTTGAAGTATACTTTTTCTAACGACAGAAAAAATACTAAAGGTCGCAAAGACCAGAGACAAATGTCAAACATTCTAACTCAAAGATTATCGCAAAAGACAAAAAAATTCATTTTGCCCCCACACACTACAGATTTTGTCGTAAAAGACAAAAATCTTCGTCTTTTTCAACAAAACTCTGCAGTTTGCGCTACTTAAGGTCAAACATATTTAATATTATTTATGTCACTGACTATCAAAGACAAAAATTGAATTTTTCTACGGTGCTCAACGATAAAAATGGTTTGAGATTCTGAATACCAGTCAGTGCGTAGCAGCAAAACCATATTATCAGACGATAGCAAACAAATCTACTTTTTGTCTGTTTACTCTGTATTCGTAATTAGTCTACCTAGTTTTAGTTATCTTTCTTTCTTTCCTTGTTTAATGTTGCGTGTTTTTATGTCTCGGCCATGGGGTAGTCATTGTCTTTCGCTCCTCATGGTATCGTCCCCGTAGTGTAGTACAGTAATTAGGGTAGTATAGTCAATGTAAAATTGTATTGTTATTAAATTCTATGAATAAAAAATAGCAAATGATGGACCAAGAAGCACCATTTACTTTTCTACTTGAAAGTGATATGATTCAGTCACAGGACAAACAAGCCTTCTCTTGAAAATATAGCGTAAATGATGCTCTTTGTTTGCTCATTCAGTTTCTTGAAGTACATTGCTATTGACACCTTGCTGTATATGAAAAAGTATTTCCATAAGTATACCTTATAGCACATTGTGTTAGAATATCCGGTGCAATTTGCTGGAGGTGGCACGATCAAACAATAGTTTGGGGAAGAAGCACTAAGGAAATTCACGTTGATAGAGTCGGAGCATTCCTACCTTGTCAGTTTAGTCTCCGATTTAAGGTTTCTGGAACCTTGCTTTCCACAACCACTGATGCAAGTTGTTATCATTTTTGAATTCATGCTTTCAGCTGCCAGAGATTAAGCACAATATAGTAGCTGTTCTGCTGGTGAAGCCGCTGTTATTCACGTCAACACAGAGACGGCAGACGGCGGTAGGTGAGGATTTATTTTATGGTGTTGAATCAAACTAAAAAGACATTCGAAATGTCAAAAAAATCAATCATTTGATATTATGCAACATAGCTAAATCACCAAAAATAGAAAAGGTTGTTTATCATAGAAAAGCAAAGTCCGGATATCAAGGAAACCCAGATTGTGGTAAAAACTACCCATCTATCAGTAAATAGTATTTATCAAATTAAAACTGTAATTATCAAATTTCTGTTTGTATCTTTATCAAATGAGATTTTATACTTGTGAACTACGTCTACCAAAGTCCGAAGATAAGCAATCTTTAGTATGGTTGACAAGAAACAGTACGAACTGGTTACAGAGTTGTTTGCACAATGCCAAGGATAGTTTTTTATGTCTTTGATATTCAGTTGTTCAAAAGATACACCCCCAATTTTGTTTGCAAATGAGGCATTGGCTCTATCCCTCTCCAAAATTGTCAAGGATGTCATTCCGTCAGTCCTTTTGCCTGACACCCTCTGTTAGCTTCTTTGCCTTTGTTTACAATCGTTACAGGCTGGAATATTTTGAATCTGGATGTGTCTGTCCAAACAACATCATCAAAAAGAGATAGGGAGTTTGTTTTCAGTAAACGGTTTGTAGGCTTACTCAAGTTTCCATTGTGGAAGGCCTATCCAGAAACTTTTCGGAAATTTGGCCTTATCTATAATTCGTAGTTAGAATCCCAACCATCCAGTGGCAACCATTGCAATGACGTCACCGCACATAGGGAAACAATGTGTAAACAACTTTGAATGCGCAATAAGTTGTGTCATCGCAGAAGGGGAATAAGCGAAATTTGGCCGGTGGAAATCTTTAAAGGAATTATTCTCAAAGAAACATGGCAACAATGGCATCTTCCCTATACTTAGAACATTATTTAGATAGTGAGTATCTTAGTTATGCGTAAATCTCGGCTTCAATCAGATGCTTTTTCCCACTTGTTATGTTGGCCTACTGAACCGCGTCAAATTGACGGGGGTCGAACATGAAGATGATTTTGAAACAGTAAAAGATATACAAAGCGCATGATATAGCCATGGTTTAAGTTTATAACTTAGTAAATTTATGCAGAAAAGTTTCCAGTTACCTTTGAAACATATATATGTCTGGCAATAAGGGAAATTTTTTACAGCGACGTTATTTATATGATAAATTGTGGATGGCGGGCGTTGCACATATTTTGGCGCCCTTTCCTAACAGTTGTTTTTATCGTGACGTCATTGGGGGATGTGATGTAAACAGTTTGTTGATAGCCATTAAAAGTTCTGATGTTGGCAGCGATCAATAATATGACGCTTAATGTATAATTATGACAAACTAATATGTATGATAAATGTAAAAGAGAAATATCAAAATTAATGAATTGGGTATATATTTAATCCACAACTGGGTATATATTTTTCATCATGCTTTCTCGGACCCTCATTCTGACGTTTTATGCTCTGAGGAGTGTCAGACGAAAAAGCATTTAGTTATAAAACCAATATGTTATAAAATGTTTGCTATTTTGAAAGCCATTTTCAAGTTCTGTACCACCAAAAACTGTTCAAATTAATGAATTGTTTGACATAAATTTTAGGACCGTTAAGGGGGGTGTTTGTGGCTGATGGTATTGCAGTATTTGCCTTTTTCTCGGTCGGTAATTTGGCTATCTTCCTCAAATTGGCTGGTATTTTGATAATGAGATAAATCAGTGGTGAGCGGTTTTCAATGCCAAGTGTGCAATATTGGCCAGTTCTGGATTAAACAATGTAGCAGATGTGGGTGAATTGCTAGCATTGATATCTTATTGTATCCATGTTGTAACCTTTGTGATCTTTTGCTGATAAATCCCAAATTTTGTTATTCTCTCCATTTTAAGGTGCCTATGAAATGAAAGTTGACAAGTTTGGATAAAGGCACACTTTTATATGCAAAAATTGCTGATTTCAATGATGTATATGTTAAGGTGATTTTTTTCTTGTGAAACTGTCTAAAAATTTAGCTTGAATATCCCTTTTCCATGTTTTCGACTATGACAAGCATGCGTTATCCGTGACATCACAAAGTTGCAAACACGGAAGCATTTGGCATTTAGTACACTAAGCAAAATGGAGATTGCTATTTGAACTACAGTTGAAATAGCCGAAGGGGGCAATTTTAAGTCAGGCTTCATGGCCAATCTTTTTTAGTGCATCAAACTGTCCTTTTTTGCAAAGTTTCCTACTGTTGTACCAAAGTACAACTGGAATACGATGATACCACCTATTAAGGTCTTGGACAAAGTACCCTAGCCTAAAAATACCCCAAGGGGGTCAATTTTTAGTCAGGGTCTATATCCTATCTTTTCAGTGTATCAATCTGTCCTTTTTTGCAAAGTTTCATGTAGTAGTACTAAAGTATGACCAGGATACAATAACACCACCTTTAAAACATTGGAGCAAATGAACCCCAGTCTAGAAATAGAACCCCAGCCTATCTTTTAAACCGTATCAAACTGCCCCTTGTTGTAAAGTCTTGTGCTATTGTACCTGCTTTAATAACCCAATGGGGCAATTTTCATTTAGGGTCTATATCCTATCTTTTTTAGCGTTTCAAACTACCCTTTTTTGGAAAATTATATGCTGGTATCACAGTTTGCAGAGTTGTTTGACCAATAGCCCTGACTTCGAGGTATGGTGTGTTAAGACAGAACCAGCTGCAAACCTTGTGATGTCACTGATTCTTATGCTTGGTCACTCGCACTCCTCATTGCTTTTTAAATCCCCAAAACAAACTTTCATGTGCAAATTCCCAGCTATAGCAACCAATTTATCGTTTTGCCTATATGTCATATAAAAACATGTGGTATAAAGAAAGTAAACTCTACTTCACTTGGAACTTAGTATATGTATATGAAGGAATGCCTAACTTAGGACTTTGCTCCAAACTGAACCCTAACCCCCTTTTTCTTCATGGTGGTGCTGCTTCTGTTCTATATAAAGCCATCAGCAAAGCACAACACCATTTTTTGATTGGGCATTTTAAAAGCATTCAACTGCCTAAGAAAGAACTAAAAAATCTATTACTAGTTTAAAGGTGGAAATAGAATAAAAGTGGAATTGTTTCAGTTCCTTCTATGGTCTCTGGAGTCCAAGGTTTGATTGGAAAAATTGTATTTTGACACAAATGGAAGAGTTAGATTTTGGTGTTCCTCGTGGATCTGTTCTTGGACTTCTCATATTAATGATTTATATCAACGAGTGAAGCACAGTAGAAGATGAAAGTATTACGAATGTAGGCATAAAGCTAGATCAACTTTTAAGGGCTCTATTTCCATTGGTCTTTATAATTGTTTTGGATTCAATTTAGCTTACAGAACTGTAAAGCGATATCACATAGCTGCTTGAATATTCTATATGTTTTGATTTATGCATGGAATTTGGTTACCACTTTCAGAAATATGTTTCCATTAAAAAGTATACTTGAATAGGTAGGGGTGTGCAGTCAAAAGAATTAACTTTTTTGCATGGCGTCATTGAAGTATTTGTGCAAAGATAAAATGGGAGATCTGAAAATAATTAGCCATTGAGGATTACATTAATTTTTGAGGGATTTATCTAATCTTGCGTTAGCTCATTGTTCAACTTCCCATAGGCCCCCCTTTCCCCCAGCGCTACACTCTTGGGATTCATAGAAAAAGTGTGATTCCACATCTAGTAAGAAAAGATGCTATCATAAATGAATTTAGTGAAACTGCAAACACTAAACTGTTTCGCAATTGAGAAAACTATTAATATTCAAAGCACTAAGAAAAAAACTAATTGTATCCATCAAGAAAACTCTGAAAGGGTAAATTGTCAGTGTGGAAAGTCAGCTAAATATGAAGAGAATTTATGTTAGAAAGATTGAAGAAAAACGGTCCTGCACAAGCTTCATATTTTGTGGGCACATGAGTTTTGGATATATCATAAACTTTTTGTGATACACGGGCATATATTACATGCTTCAATCTTGACAGTTTTCCCAGAAATTACTTGAAACTTAAATGAGATGAATTAAAATTCAAACTGCAATGTATTCTGTAATTTTCATTTTGAAAACTCAGAATAACCATAAAATCAAAATATTTTTGTGGAATTATGGTATTTGATAAACCCCAAAGACCCCCCCTCCCCCATGAAGGCAATATTGGCCAGGGTGCATTCCATGTAATCCTCACTCCAAAGGTACACCTATATGCAATCATTATGCTGACCAACCCTATCTCTTTGAAGTTTATAATATACATTGGGGATGGTTTAGTCGTATATGCAAATAATCATAGAGAAAGAGCTTTTTGCTGCACTACTAGCCATTTCACCAAAATTACAGTTTACACCACACACAAGCAGATGCTTGTCTCATGCCAATGCCATGCCAAATAAAGTAACTCCACTTCATGGATTTTCTACATGGAATGCACTGTGGGATATTGGCAATGGAGATGCACTCCTTGGATATGTTGTAAACCTTATTCACAAGCTTGATTAAAACCCAACTTAAAATATGGTAACATCGCATATATTGGCCCTAAGGATAAAGAAATTATAAGAAATGTCCGGAGAAAAAAGGATAGTACTCGAACTGAAAGATCTTTGATATGAGAAGAGACTAAAGTCATTGTGTCTTACAAGCTGTATACCTAAGGTTCTGGGGTGATATCATTGTGACATGATACAGAATCACCAATGCCAGAAAGATCACATAAAGTATCTGGGTTGAGACTATCTTTCAAGATATGTTGTTGAAAACTCCATTATCAGATCAGTGTTAAAAAAATGAGATGATTACTATGGAGACACTAAATACATAAGCCAGTGTTTTTGCTATAAGAAAGTGAAATTCCTATTGAAATTATGGTTTTAGATAATTACATTATTTGATGTAATTATCTGCTACTACTGAGAGGATGATTAAAAGCTACTACTGAGAGTTTCATCTTAACACAATCAAAGCTGGACAGCCAAATAGAACTGTAAATAACTTTTACTTCAACATAATATATTTCATTTTATTTTATGTTTATTTTCCATTTAAATAAATTGACTTTCCTATGAAAAAGATCTTTGATTCGCCTTTATCAGTCCTTAAATCTAATGCAATAATTGAGAATGCACTATGAAATTTTTGTGAACCAGCCCAAACACCTTATCTGTGCATGCAAGATCTTTAAACCAGCAGCCCCAAAAGAGGGAGCCCCAAAAAGTCAATTCACTGCATGTAGAACTACATGTGTATGTATGAATCATTAAGATGGCAAAACAATGAAGGATGGTTATTGAACTTTCTTACATGATGTGGAGAGCCTTAAATTCTCGTTAAAATCCTCATTTTAAGCTTGAATTAAACATGTAGCATAGGGTGTTCCTCGAATTTGAAAAGGAATGAGCCATCGAGTAGAAACAGTTTGCTGTTATCAAAAATGCAAAATGAAAGGCCATGTCCTTCACAATTACTGATAGTGTACATCAAATATGTAGCTCAGAACACCTAGAAGGCACTCTATGGAGCGTGCATTTGAGCTTAGTGCGCTACAATCTGCCGCCACAGGCCATTCAGTTTTTGTGTTTCAAATTTCAAGTTTCACCTTTCATAACATCAAAGCTATACTTGATAGAAGCGTTGATAGTAAGATTGCCTTCTTTGGGGCTTAACAATTTTTGATTACAAATCCCTATGTTTTTATGTTATCAAAGCAGATAACAAGCATAAGAATGGAACAAGAGAAGTCATTAAAGTAGTTTTGCTTTAGGGGTGTTGAACTCTACATAATAATCAGTGCTTTTTGTTAGCAATATTTTCGTTTCTTCATTGGTCACAGTCATAAGTATACAAGTTTTTAGATTAATTTTTCCTTCAGTATGGTGAATGTTGTAGCCATTTTATGTGATGAATAAGATTGAAACTGTTAAGCTATACTAAGTAAATGCGGTTAAGCTAAAGGAATGTGCAGGTTTGTTTAATCTTTTGTTTATCTGGTTTATAACTGAGGGCCAAAACAATGCTATCATTTATATATATATATATATTTCTCAAATATATTTTCAGGTATTGAAAATCTGCCTTATGAACTTCAAAGAAATTTCACTTTGTTACGAGATTTGGACCAAAGAGCACATGGTTAGTATCTGGATAACTTTTATTTGAGCATGATATTAGAAGTATGTTTTCTAACATTGGTTTTAAAGGCTGATGGACACTGATGGATATCTGGACATCACTTAATATGGTTTTGGTCAAAAAAGCATTAGAATGTGTTAAAAGCCAATAATACAAGCAAATTGACCGGCTAATTCTAAAGAAGTCACAAAAAGATTTACCTTGAATCAAGTGTTTGATTTCACTAGCTTTTAATTTTCAGTGTACAATTACAGCACTGCCTGTGACACCAGAGGCAGCAGGAATTGGGGTTGATTGCAATGCATCCATGATTTATGTTTTTTGCTTTTACTTTGAAAGCAAATTTTTCCTGTTCTTATTAGTTGAAATGGTTATCTGCCGAACTGTACATACATGCATTGGTTTTACTGTGAATTCGTATCAAATTCAGTAAAGCATTGTTAGAAAAGCTATTAATTCCATGGGCATCTGCTATCTATAGTGTTAGTGCAGTTAGTGAAACCTGTTCTCAATGTACAATAGTTCAAAGGATTCATAGAAAGTAACAAGGGTTAGAAAGTAACAAGAACAAAAATACCTTCTAGTCATGTTAGTTTCACAGTTAGTTGGTAGATGAAAAATTCAATTCATAATTTAACATTAATAGGCAAGAAAATTGAAGTGGGTGAAAAATGCTAAAGCTGTTTTTTGGGAGATGCTTAAGCTGTTCATCCTAAAATTTTTGAAAAAATTTCAGAAAAAATCAGATTTTTAGATGAAATGACAAAGAAGCAACAACACTCCTATTTATGCCCAATCTCAAGTAAATGCTTCCCTCCACTACATTCTTCCTGTAATTAATAAATGACTCTGTCAAACAGCCTAGCACCTTCCGGTTTTAAAAATTCCTATGATTCTATTGTGAATATATGATTGTGTTTCTTAGATGTTTTCCTCCAGGTTAAATTAAAAATATAGGTAAATTAGTAAATATAGCTTTTGGTTTGCTTTATGGCCCCTTTTCCACAACTAAGCACCACATCCATCTCCATATACATTATTTTATAAACACCACCGATTTGTAGAAATGAATTGCATTGGTTTTTTTATTCAGTTCTTTAGAATTAAATATGTTTGTTCTTTTAATGCCAACAATTTATCTAACTTTTTCACTTTTCTAACCGTGTTTGGTGTCCTTATATGTTAACAGAAGTTTCGTGTGACTACTGCTATTTTACGCAAAGTTGATTTGTTTCATTTATCATTATATCAAGACAGCCATCTTTTTCTCCTTTTCAGATTTACTATCTGAAATTGATAAAATGTGTGAAGAGTATATGGAAAAAATTAGAAAGCTGACCCCACCTGAAAAGAAAGACTATTTGAATAGGATTGATAGTGCGTTTAGAAAAAGTAGAGAATATGGTGATGACAAAGTACAGCTGGCAATTCAAACCTATGAAATGGTATGAAAAACGTTCTCTATTGTTAGGTTATATTTTTTCCATAATAGGCCATATTCCTAATGACATCATATTGTCCATGTGGGCATTGCATGCCACTTGGACACAGTATCCAGTGGTGAAGTAAACATTGTATTTCGCTGTATTATGTATTTCATTCAAATGAGACTGATTAGTACTTAGTAAGTGATAAAATCATTTGAAGGTGGCATGAAATAGCAGAAACTTATCATACTGAAACACCTTTTGCCTGACACTTGTACCAAAATTTATCTGGTTCTTCTATCTGTGGTACAGATGCCAACTTTCAAGGAGATCACTTTTTATAAATAAAAATCACAACTACAATTAGGCAAGCTTACACCAAATCTGAAATCAGCAGTTTGAACAAACACCTAAGTTAAATTAATCAAACAAAGCTTTGGTTATTAAAATATTAAAATATAACATTTTAATTTTAATTCGTGTCTTTGTAATAAAATAAAATTATTAAAATATAACAAACAAACAAACTGTATTGGGAATACAATAAAAATACTAGGGCTTTTGTAAATATAATGCAAGCATAGCTTCATGTGGCATAATATTTAAAATAATTGTCAAATGCATTCTGGTTATTTAACCTCAAGTTTGTTATGAAACTTATAAAGGAAAATTTGCTGTAACATTGGCGTATGCTGCTATGAGAAAACGTTCACAACAACGCTCTTCAAAGTATAAGCATCAAAGTAAGCAGAACATTTATATTGAGGTGTGGATAGAAACATTTTGAATGAAAAGTTCTCCAGCATGCGATGAAAAACTCTACTTTGATAAAATAGTATTGGTTGTAAGAGATATTATTTGATTATTTTTTGTATTTAACTTAGGTTAATCCTCATTTTAACTATAAACCAATGTTGTTCGTAATTCTACATCAGCTGTCATAACCAAACAAGTAAATCAAGCATTTGTGGGTGCAAAGCTGTCATTTTTCCAAAATGATATCCTTTTAAAGCTAGGATATGTCAGCTAATTCCTCCTCCAATGTTTTTTCTCGTTTTTCCTCAATCTGACAACATTAGGTAAACAGCCATAGAATGGCAAAGAGATCATATCTTAAAAGTCACTTTTTACATTTTTTTTATTTTTATCCCATGCGCAGTAAGAATGTGGTGATTTATCTCTATATGTGCGAAATCAGTTAAATATGTTAAAGATTTCCAGAGGTATGGCAGCCATAAACAGATTTGAAGTTGTTTTGGTTTGGTTCATAAGGTTTGAAACCAGAGTCAAATTGCAGTGGTTTGGTTGGGAAGAGCCTGCAATGATTTAGCAGTGTGTCAGGCAATCTGTGACAGATCTATGTGTTCCTTCAGGTTATGTGCTCAAACTACAAAAACACAAAAATAGCTTTCTGGAACATCAACACTTTGCCAATCTAATGGTAAAATAAAATTGTCTTGGAAATATTCTTTATAAAGAAAATGTTGTATATGGGAAATATGGGGAGTATTGTGTCACTCAGACATATCATAAGTCAGAAATGTATTGTAATTGAAATTTTTGTTGATACAAATCAATCCAATTTTGTAAATAAGTATATATACATATGAGGTATTTTTCAGTAAAACTTAATGGTGCATGCTTTTTCAGGTTGACAGACATATTCGAAAATTAGATTCAGATTTAGCAAGGTTTGAAGAGGATTTGAAACAGCAAAGGCAAACACAAGTACAGGAACCAGATGGTAAAATTTCTTTTATTGCCTGTTCAAAATAATTTTCATCTTTGCCAATTGTGTTGTGAAAGAAATATGTCACATCCTGACACATGATGTTTTAAAGTCCATAAATTTGTGCTCATTCTCTCATGGAACAAATTTAGTTGGAAAATATATAATAAACTGGAAAGAAGCAGCCTGTTTTGCTAGTGTGAAGCATGTTTTAAAAAAAGATATGTTTGCCATGTATAATCTTTTGAGGCCACACCGACTGGCCTGAATAGCAATAACCACGTCCTCAGGCCTTTCCGTAAAGATTTTAGCAGGTGCGTGGTTGATCGCGCGCGATTCATTAACTTTCGGCTAAAATCGCACGGAAAAGCGGTAATACCCGTATATTGATGTTACAGATTTTCAGTTCGATTTTAAGGCTTTGTGGTACCAAAGAACTCTTGACTTTCAAGTGTTATAGACACCCACAACAGAAACTTTATTATTTTGATTCTGAACAAGCGTAGCTATTGATACGTTTTAGTCTAAAAATTACTTCCTGTCATGATAACAGTGAATGATAACTGTGGTGACGCTGATTCAGAGTGGTCCTTTCATCACACTTGACCGGCACAAACAGTTTTTCATTATTTATGAAGCATATGGCATAAATAATGATTGCTGTACTTTAAAAATGATTACCAGAGCAATAAGATAATGTTTCAGATAAAAAAGTAATCTTTAATGCAAATGGTGTGGGATATAGCAGGTGCGTGGCAAAATGTGCACCTTGTCACAGAACAGGTAAGGATACCTTGGAATGATAATTAAGGGTCCCCGAACAAAGCCCCAAATGATTTTATGTCCATCTTTCAAGCCTTCGCTCGAGAACGCCTTAATTTCACAAACTTGAAAGTTTTTTATTAAAGATTCAATTACTCAGCACCAGTGGCGGACCCTTGGCCAAATATTTTTGGTAGGGGGCAAATCTATTGCTTTGATAAGATGACGTCACAGTTGTCCGTTGTTTTAGAACAAAAGACCACCCTTATTCATCCAACAAGGTGTCCAGCACTGCTCAGCATACTTAGCGAGAAGAAATTTTCATTTTTCTATTGTACTTGTCATACTCTATAGTGTTAGATGGGACGTTCTAGCGGTTTGTAAATAGGGGCCTGTCTATTTTTCCCTTAGAACCCCATTTACCTCCATTATACCATTGTATATATTTATAAATCCCTGCCAGGCTTTGATATTATTAATGCTTGAGATCTATCATGCTATCTTTGTTGCTACCTTTTGTTCCTACACTTGCTGCTGCTATTATGCATTCACCTTTGTATGGTAGAGGAAGGAAACCTTTAACTGAAAATACAGATTGGGCTTACAATAGACCACCTATGCACTGCATTCTGTAGTCTATTCAACAATACATTTAGCAATATTTTTTTAGACGATGTTCTAGAATACGAAAACACTTCAATAAATACATAAGAGTTTCTGTTGCATGCATATTTCATATTTATCCTTTTATTTTGATTCTACAGTCCCTCCCTCCTATTTCACTGCCTGCCTGGTCTCTTTTATTCACTTTTTTACTTCTTTCTGTGCTGTCTGTTCAGCCCTCACTAATGCTTTCAAAACAATCATAAAAATTTGGTTTGTAGTAAATTCATTTGCATTGTTTTTTGCAGCAACTACTAAAAAAGAAAGTAAGTATATAGCTTTATCAATTTTTGCTCTTTTGCTATTTGATGTGTCTCTCTGCCTGAAAAATTTCCTTTTATGTTATGGAGTAATTTTTTTAAACAGTATATATGTTATGGAGCAGTTTTAGAATCTATCTACATAAGCACGAAAAAACCGCTACTGTGTAGACAAAAGGAGCTCGTTTTCACCTTAGGACTCCACTGGTAACATTCTCAATAGCAAGCGGCACTGATCGGTCAACCTATACAGTCATGTGCTCGTGTTTCTGATTGGCCTATTTCGATCCACAACTGACGTTTTAAACTCTGAAGAGTGTCAGACGAAAAGCTTTAGTTTTTTCTGCAATATTTCGCTAAAAATGTTAACTGATTCATCAAGATGGATAATGGAAATTAATGCAAGATTCTCTTACATAAAACTGGTGTAATGTTTTTCTTTTATCCTAATAGAAGGCCGAAAGAGGAGATCAGAAAAAATAGAATCTGGTAAAAAGAAGAAAAGATCGAAGATTGAGTATGCATTTTTTCATTTCTAATTGAAATTTTTTGAAAAATATATTCCTCGGTTATCTGAATCAGCATAATGCCCATCATTAGTGAAAATGGGTCAAAATATTTTTTCTTTACTTGTCAGAGGTTTGGTAAGGTAAAGATTATAGGGTAGCACGTAAAAGGGGAAAACTCTTTACGAGGTTACCTGAAAATTTTTGTCAAGCACTCCACTGACTTTGAAATTTCGGATAATGGCCATATAAGGAGACATAATTTCAGTCCAATACCCCCACAGTAAGTTATTACGAGAAATATGTCTCATTTTATTTATTCAGTCTCCATTACTGCTTCCTTTTAGGCCTGAAGAAGTCCCGCTTCCAGTTTCTGCCACTCCTCTTATCACCATGGCAACAGATATGAATGTTTTAGATATGCCGGTTGATCCTAATGAGCCAACGTATTGTTTGTGTCACCAGGTAAGCTAATTGTTACAGATATTTGAACTGTGAGCAGGGCTCATTGTTTGTCACAAAGATTAATATAACTTAATAACTGTTAAACGTTATGCGTTAAGATACGGTGTAATCCAGATATAACGAACCCCGGATATATTGAGCTTCCCGTTATAACGAACTACTGTAAATGTCTGGTCCCTTGGAGTCTGCCTGTTTCTTTCCGGTGTTCATTTATCACTTTCTCTGAGGGACATCGTTATTGTAATCGGTAAAACATGCATCGGCAAACATGCACTTTTATGATGCTGAAAATGGAGATTTGATGCATGTAAAAGTTAACAACTTTTCAAAGCTTTATGACATTTTAGTGAGAAGAGCCAATACACAGAAAGGCAAATTGAAATGTTTGATGAACAAGATTTTCATTTTTGATCACTGATCATTACAGTATTTGAACCCAGCTTGTTTGCTTTGAGAAAAATGTGCACAGAAGTTGGGGATAGCCTAAACAACCCCACATGAAGGGTTTTGATGCGTGTACTGCGAAAAGGACTGAAAAAAGATTTTCTCTCGATTAAACGAACTCCCGATATAACGAACTATTTTCTTGTTCCCTTCAAAGTTCCTTATATCGAGATTCCACTGCATGTAGGCTTTATTTTCACATGAGATTAAAAATTTCTGCATTTATTCTTTCGCAAACAGTCTGGTTTGCTTTTACATATTACATTGCGTTGGATATTTCACTTCACGTGTAGTTACACTTTCATGAACTGTTTTTTTCTTTTAGGTTTCGTACGGCGAAATGATCGGCTGTGATAACCCCGAGGTTTGTAGCTAGTTTGACTTTTTCATCGATTATTTTTTTGCCTTATTGTTCACCATACCTCGAATTTGGCAGCTCTAATGATGCTTATTTATAAGATTCTTGTTACATTTCTACCATCGGCAAACTAATTCAGCACGGAATCCAGTTTCCTGTTGCCTGCTTCTCGTCCATACGCATTTCTTTGATTCAGACCCCGTTTACACTGTCCCGGGACAATTTTATACCGTTACGGTTCGCGAGTGTTTACACTGTCGCTGTTCCAAATTGTTCCATTTAGTCGTTCCGTTTACATTATACCGGTATGACGTAAGTTCAATGGTCAAACATTGTTTAAAGGAGGCGATATTTCGTCAATCGAGGCAATCAAGGCTTGGACTGGGAGACAATAGAAAATAAGTACGGAGACAAAACTGTCCAGAATCTTCGAAGTCGTCGTCTTTTCTTCAAAATTTTTCTTTATCCTTAAAAGTTAAATAGCGTTGTCAAAGACGGTGGCAACCATCGTAAATGGCTGCTAGATATTCAGCCCATCGATCGCTGCCACTTGTTTTAACATGGCGATAAGGAATTTGAAAACGTAGTTTGAATTTTCAACAGCCATTTTGACAATTTCCTCGTCTAAAAATATCGTCCACAATCAAAGCCTCGATTATCTGAAACGGCCATACAAAAGAGCTTATTGCGAATCCGTGACAATATCGTCTCGGATAGGTGTTTACATTGTCCCGTTCAAAAACGGAACCGTGACGGTACAAAATTCATTCGCTTTCATAGCAGGAACAAAACTGTTCCGGATAGCAGAGCAAAATCGTCTCGGTTCCACAGTGCTAGTGTAAACGGAAGGGCGAACCGTGACACTTTTGTCACGGTTGCAAACTTGCACGGAACAGTGTAAACGGGGTCTTAGGTGCCGCAGGAGTTTATAGTGTCTTCCTTGTGACCGTGCTGATCGTAATATGATAACATTTCGATCAGGTTTTATCCCGATCAAGTTATATTGGCATAGCTGAACCGCGCCCGTATGATTGCTGTTAGGTACTTCTCAGATAAATGTTTTTAGTAACCCCTGTGTTAACTGTATCCAAATTGCGAATTTTAATATGCACTTTCGCGCAGTTTTTCTTCTTATTTGGCATATATAGGGTCACGTCGCCCTGATTGAGTATACCTAGATACAAATTAAAATTTTTCTATTTTGCGTAGACTTAGACATAAAACTTAGCACTGACAAAATCCTTCAGGCTCTTCAGATATATATTTCAAAAGATCAGGTAATTTGTTTTACAAAGTTTCTTGAAAAGGCTGCGATACTTCTTAGTTGTCTTGACGGCCTAAATTTCTGGCGTCGCCCTGATTGGGTATTTTTTCCGTATGTAAATATTAGCTCGCACGAATAAAAAATCGAAAAGAAAATAAGAGATTAAACACTTGCAAACACCTTTAAAACATCCTTGCATGCCAATGTTTTATTAAATTTTTATTATCCGTCGATCTGGCGCATGCAAAATTGTCGCTTTCGCAAGAGTCAAAACAAGGAGAAAATTGACGGCTTTGACAAAGTGCAATATTTTGGCTGAAAATTGTATTCAAAATGTATCAAATTTGCTCTAGAGTATTTTTGTTTAAAGATATTTGACAATTTGAAACTTACAGGTTTGGTTTTGAGAATTAATGCGAAAAAACTACCGAACTGAAAGAGCCGTTTTCATATACCCAATCAGGGCGAACTTAGGCCAAGTCAGTCAGCTTTATTTCACTCCTCTCTGTGGCAAAACAAATTGAAAACTGAGCGATTTGTGCAAAGATCCTTATTCCTCATGCATGATATGTGCCTATAATTGCTAGGTTAGCAGCTAAAATATGCTCGTCCCTTTAAAAAATAATTATGAGAAAAAGAGTACCGAAAATATCCTACGCAAAATGGCAGACACATACTTCTTCGTTTCAGGTGAGTCATTTTCTTGTCCAATTATTCGTTCATCGATTTATTAATTGAACCCAAAATGTTTTCTTAACTTTGATAAATGGCGTATACACATGATTTCGCGCTTTTTTGGTCGCAGCTTAGCCCCAATCTCCCAATTTTTTCGCAATAGTTGAAGCGATGTAAATGTCACGTTTCCAGGTACACACTCAATCAGGGCGACGTGACCCTATATTTGGCAAATTACTGATTTATTCTTTTTCAAGGCCATTTACTGAACAGGTCGACTCTTTGGGTCTTCTCTCTTTTATCCTTCTCTTTACGGAACTTCCTTCTCCGGCCCTTTCCTGATTTTACCCGGAACTCATCTTTCTGGATCCTCTCTGGATCTTCCCTCTGGATTTTCGCTCTTCAAATCTTCTTTCTCCTGATCTTCTCTCTCCCGAACTTTTCCGGATCTTCTCTCTCCTGATCTTCTGATGGTCTTCTCTTTCTGGAACTTCTTTTGATCTTCTCCGGATCTTCTCTTGCCAGTCCTTCTTGTTTTCCTCTGCGGATCTTTCTTTTCAGATATTATCTGGATCTTCCCCAAACCTTCCCCCGATCTTCCCCAAATCTTCCTCAGATCGTCCCCAGATCTTCCCCAGATTTTCTCCTGATCTTCCTTCTCTGTGACGTCTCTCTCCGGGTCTTCTTTCTCTGGAACTTCTCACTCCAGGAATTCTCTCCCAGAATTTTCTCTTTCCGGTCATGGATCCTTACTTTTCAATATGATTGTCGACTTAGTCATTATTTCTCAACTCTTGCCTGTTTCTATCTCCCATTTTTTTCACCAATACATTCTACTACTAAATATATTTTATCTTAAGTTGAAAAATCTTGAAACTAAAATGTCCAATTCTTGAGCATATCTCAATTTATGTAATGTAAATCCCTTCCCTACTGCACTCAGGCATCTTGGCAATGATGCCATGTAATGTTAAGAATGTAGTGAAGGACTAAGCTGCATATGATGTTGTAATGATAGCTAGTAAGGAAGAAACTTCTTTTTCAGTGTCCTATTGAATGGTTTCATTTTGGCTGTGTTGGTCTTTCGACGAAGCCGAAAGGAAAATGGTCAGTGCTTCTAAATCAGCATCCAGTTCTAGATGCTATTTCTTAAATTAATGATACACTATTAGATATTCTATTGAGATTTTTTGTGTTTCGGTATCCGGGGAAAGCTTATCCCATAGAAGGAAGCCACAGGCTGGAAGGTCTGATATACATGCTATGATTTCATCCCACCTGCCAGCTTATGAGATGAAAGGTGGGATAATTTTGCTCGTATAAGCTGTTTTCTGTCTCTGTAGTCATTGTTTGAGAAATTTGCGATCATGCTTTAGATTATTTACTGGTTAAAGAAGCATTTGGTGATAAAGGTCGAGAAGAATGAAAAAAGCAACGTTGAAGTAATTTTTGATGTCTTCAGAAAATCCTAAACTTTTTGCGAATCCCTAAGCGTGAAATGTTGGTCAGTTCCTCCTTGAATCCGTTAAGTCATACCCCCAAATAACTCTGACTTTTGCAAAGTCGCACTGATTTTCGGTTCCCATTAGATTTTCCTGTCTTTTCCAAAGTCGTATCCGTGATAAGTCGGATGCTCGCCAAGTCAGACTATTTCCTTACACCCCCTTCGAGGTCCGACTTATTGGGATTCAACTGTTTGTGTTGGTGCCATTACAGGTTAATACATATAGGCTGAACTTGCATTCTTTTGCACTCTGGCATTATTCAATAAGAATTAATTTTTCAGGTTTTGTCCAAAGTGTTCGCAAAACCGAAAGAAAAGGTAAAAAGGCACAACAATCCGCTAATAAAAATCGGCTGTGGAAATGCGTCATGCATTTACTCAGAGAAAGAATTCGCTTTGGGCCACGTGGCTGGATCTTCAAAAAGTACTGGGACATTTTCGGAAATCGCAATTTGTAAGACCGGTGTAGGCCAGATCTGTCCTTTTCTTGTGTCTGAAAACGGTTTTGGTATTCAGAAGCATGTGGACACATCTTTCAGAAATATTTGTATATGCAAAGTAAATATTGGACTTATAATTAGATTTTGAACATAGGTATGGGTAATGTAAATGACTCTTTTGATTTCTCTGTGGCTCACTGATTATAATCCTAGCACCTAACGCGTTTTTTGACGTCTAGTTTCTGGTACGTTTTTCTAACCTCTAAGTCAAATTACCTTTTGGATTGTACTAATTATATTTATGTAGATCACGTTTTCTTGTCGATCCAGCCCCCCTTTCCATTGTAATTGAGAAGTATGGAAGACATGCCCGGGCACTTTAAGCACGTTAAGCACGATTTCCCGGCACGTAAAGAAAAGGAACCTATCTTTATTTTGCACGTAATAGGCGTGGTATTAGTATAATTTATCGGCGTGCCGCCAAGGTTTTTGGAACTTTGTTCTGCATCTCTCTTAGTTGTCACAAGTTGTCTATGTACAATCGCCATTTGCTGTTATATATTTAAAATCTGACTTATAACACATAAATGACGTCACAGACGTGGTGTTTGTATATGTCTTTGTAGATTTATTTTCCGGATCTATACGCACATTTCTGTAAATAAAGTTAATATAGAATGATTTTGAAAACATACCTTGTTGTCCCTCCATTGGTGTGACATCTTTCACTGTGTTTTCTTGAAAGACAGGCAATTTTCACAGGATCTCATGACATAGTACGAATGAGTGAGTGTATCGATTCCATTTTCCATGATTTATTTGATTCCCCGAGGCAGTGAGAAATGATAACTGGAATAAAAGTGGTGGCCATAGTAGCATCAATCAATATCACAAAGCTACTGAATTTTATCAGAATGCAATACACATGCAGTGTAACGTAGGGAAATAGCATGAAGACATCGTTAGCGAAAGCTACTTGAACTTCATGCAATGCTTTGAATGCTTAGATACGAATGAAAAAATTATAGATAAATTTAGCTCGAACTGAAACACATTTACAAAACTGCAAAATATTTTAACAGAGTGATTTATACCATTTTTCTTCCAAATCTAGGTTCATTGAATAAATATTACAAAAGTTGAGAATGTTGAATTAGAACCAGTGCAAGTTTGATTTGTAAGAGATACAGATAGGCCCGAAACACATTAATTTGACATAACGAAACACATTAATTATGACAACCGGTTGCGCACGAGCCTTAAAATCAAGCTACTTGTTCGGACACACTTTCCTGTAAGTAAAAACGAAGCAATAAAAACAAAATTCTAAAAAACATGGGTAAGCCTACAAACATAGATGAAATTTCTCTAACAAACTTGCCAAGTTCCGATGTATGGAACAATTGGCAGGTAGTGAATAAAAAGAATCAAAACCAAGTATGAAATAGAGCAAAAGGGTAACGATAAACTGAGCAAATGGATAATAACTTTTCAATTCAATAACACTTGAATTAGGAGCCTCTCTATCACAGTTGGCAACTGTCAAGCCTGCATTTTCAGGATTAGACTAACAACGTGATTTAATAGAAAAGTAATTCTGGGTTCAGTCGAATGACTATGTTGGGATGTTTAAAGGACACCGTTTGTGTTGTTGATCAATAGCAAGAGCATCGCATATTTTGATGAATTGGTTTCAATAATGGCCGATAATGCCAAGAGAGCTCATGGAAAGTTTCACAAAAGAGACTGATAAATTTTCTGAGTTCTTGTGGCATCTGTGCCATGATTGGATTGCGTTCATGGACGCTTCTCGGCTCCACTTTTCGTGCTCGAATTTAAGCGATTCTGGCACCCAAGTTATAGAAAATGGCACAGTCGGTCATGCGTTGGGTGTAAGGTCACCCCGTTAACTAAGCCTTGAGAAAATAAATAACCATTTCAATAAACATTAAACATTAGTTGAACGAAGTTTAGCAATGGTGGTAGTACTTGATTGATTTTTTCAGATCTGTGAGCCATTTAGGACACTTTGCCGGTGTAGGGAAACGATTCAGAGAATAAGCTTTCTGTATCGCCATAATTTCAGGAGTTAATATTGTCCAAATCCCAGCCTCTACCATTTACATCTAACAGTAGAGGGTGTTTTTTACCCATTCCCCCTCCATCTCTAGATTCTAAGAAGCCATATCCAGATATTGTTTTATAGCAATAGAGGACGTTGTCGCTTCAAAAAAAGTGGTTGCTCAAGGTCTTTCAATGTTGGGGCTAAGTGAAGAAGAACTTTCAAAAAAGGGGATAAAGCCAGGGATTGGATGAAAATTGCACTTGGATGAACTAAACATCACATCGAAAACAGTGATCAAGACACAGTGCAGCGAAAAGAGAGATGTCTCACAAATAGTCTCAAGAGTTTTGATATCCGAAGCAATTGCGCCTGGGTTTGCACAAAAAATGTGGCAAGATTTCCCGGGGGGAAGGGTATTCCCATTATGGCCTAACAGGGGTTCCAGTCAGGCGCAAAGAGGGCCAAAGCTAATATGTTGAAAATTACTCTCAAATGGTAGTCTTTTTTGACAATAACCCTCAAATGGTAGCGTAAGGACAGGACGTAGCAGGAAAAGACATGATGTCATCGAGCTCCAACTACGACAGCACTTACATTAATATTAACATTGATCTAAATGAAGAAAAGATAAACAACAACTTAACCGGGTGTCTTAGAAGGAACACATCCCCCATCCACATTAATGTTGTTAATCCAGACAAAGCTATTAGTGGAGCAAGGAAGTGGTTCCTTACAAGACTCCCGGTACAAACATTACAGGGAAAAAAGGCAAATAAAAGAAAAATGCTGCTTTGTACCATACAGGGCGAGATTTGTACCATACAGTGGCAATGAGGGGTTTTTGCGGGACAGCCTCACCAAATAACACTGTGGAGAACCCATTTTGAAGTGCTTGCAACTAGCAGTAAGTGTAGGTTTTGTTAGTGTTGTTTGGTAAATATTGTAATATATTTAAGCTTTATCATTATGACCAATGTGTCCCTTCGTTCTGGTTTTAGCCCTCACGTAACTCACATTCTAAAATGCCTAAATCCCCGAAGGTCAGAAGATCTCCTGCCCTCTTCGATAGAAGGTATCCAGAGTTCAGATATGAAGTGGCAATTATAAAAATGAAGTAACTTACTTTTAGATGCATGTGTACCAAAGTTGCATGTTATGGTTGGATGCACCAGCATGAGCTAAAATAGATTTAATTCTGCAGCGCATGCTAGAGACAAGGCCGCTTGATCGAGTCGAAGGCAGACGGAGCTCAAAGCCGAATGCCACGTTGCCACTAATGAAGATCCCAAAAGATTAGGTGAAGTAGAATATCCGATTGTAAATAACGAATGTAAGTAAGCGTGCCACATGAAGGAGGAGTGAAACCCAAGCCACATGGGAAAAGAACAACGATAAAGACGAAAATATTGGATACAATGCAGTACTGCTTACAATTCAAATTAATTTTATTCAAATTATCAAATACCTAACTTTTGGAGAGTGCAAAAGAGGAAGCTTTTGTTACGAGACCAGGGACATGGGAGTCAGCAAGATTTTGTGAACAGAAGATATGATGTTTATATTTGGTCTCAGCTAAGAAGCAAGACCCTGATATCCCTGTAAAGATAAATAGAGTTACTCCCTCCCCCAGGGTTAAAATATCGTATTTATTGAAGTAATAGAAGATCCACGCAACGGAACAAAAACAATATTTCACTGTTTCCCTAAAAAGATATAGTTTATCCATTGAAAAATCTTCGAAAATTCAAAGAAGAAATCTTTAAACGAGCAATCAAAACTAGAGGCTCATTTCTTAAACACTGCAAATTGGAACTATTTTGGAAACAAGTAGACAAGCATCATCATCATCATATTTGTCCAGGAACAACTCTTCTACAAAAGATAAATGTCTATAGCCTCACAGTTTTAACCTATAAATATAAGCTTCATGTCTGGGCAAATATACATCGCCTTCAGTTCAACTGCTTTCAATGAGTTGCTTCCAATGTGGTGAAATTTATGTCTATGCTGTTCAAAACAAAGACTTCATACTCCCTGCGTTTAACTGTAAAGAGTACAAACCAGGCATTTATTTTCATAATGATTTACCCTATTAACAAGCCATGTTCTTCAAAATGTTCTTTTGGGCCTTGAAACTTTGACATCATATTCCCATAGCTCTGTGCATTTAAATATGGAACCGATCTCTCAATAACCACAGTTCTCTCATGCGAATTCAAGATAAGCTAATGCATTTGCCTTTGACACCAGCAGTTATGTAAAACCCCAATGATGGATACATAGTTAGAAGAGTCATGACGTCACAAAATATTATTAGAATTTTCGAATTTGGACAAAATAACCCGGGAAGAGCATCATAAAATACTCGTTAGTTTGCAAAATCGAACAGATCTGTTCAAGACTGCCTGAGGCATGACAACATAACCACAGGTTCTTTCCCCGAAGAAAAATCTGTCTGATTGGTTTCGCCCAGCCCACTGCACGATTTTTGTCTGTGGACTGCACGATTTTTGTCATTGGACTGCACGATTTTTGTCTTTGGTCGCAAATACCAAAGACAAATATCAAACATTTTAAATATCAAAGATTAGCACAAAAGACCAATGTCTTTCGATTTTGAAACCGCATACTTTTATTGCAAAATTAAACAGTTTGCGAATGAAATCTGCTTTGTGCGCTTGTCTTTACGGTGCAAAGTCAAGAAAGAATGCAATAAGGTTTGGAAGATTTTCGAATCCAAGATTCAGCCTTTTTTAAATGCTGCTGATGATTGGGTAATTCAACAACTACTACCTAAGTTAGACAATTCTTGAAACATATAAAAATATTAAATTAGGCTACGTTATGCTGTTTGTGTGCAAAAGACGAAGATTAAAAATGTACAAATTCATATACAAAGTCATACGGCACGAGGTGCAAAATTAGTGAGCGTTCCTTCAAGAAACGCCAATCAATTGTCAAAATAAAGTCATCTGCTTAAAGATGGATGGCTTGTAAACAGATACGTATCTTTCGAATTTAGTAGTCATCCTGATAATACATTTATAAGGAAATCTACCTACAAAACATGCCACAGAATAAGAACAAAAATATAGAATATTCGTCAACAGTTGCCGGCAATGAAAATTCTTAAGCGTGATAAAAATCAATCTTTTTGTTTTCCGGACCTTCAGTTTTATTGCTTCCTATTCCTAGTAATGGCTAAAATTTGCCCATCTCCTGTCTTTCCCTGTCTTCAGTCTTTGCTTTGAGAACCTCTATTAATGCTTTTTCCACTCAGAAAGTCACATCATCATGTTCACTTCTTCCCCCTTTCGTCCCCCCATCCTATCCCAATTTTAACTTCCTATCTTTATTTCATTTTATAAAGCCGACTTGTAGCTCTATTTTTCAAAACGCACAGCATTATGACAAAAATTCTTCTTTATGTTATCACGTCTCTTTCTAAAAAATACTTATATTTCGTTTCACGTAAAACCGCTAAGTACGGTTAAGTAGAAAATAATACACTTGAAAAATAGCTAAATGAATTATACATCGAAAAGAATGAAAAATTGTTAAGCAGTCAAAATAAAAATAAAAAAGAGTTCAAGACTAACGCAAAAACCATTCAACTTTTCAGGAGAAAGGTTGTCCTCTTACAAAATCATTCCAATTATGAAATGAGATAAGCTTCAACATTACAAGGCGACCTAGTTAGAACAGTCCTTTAAAAATTAAACCTGTAACTAAGCTAATGTTATACAAAAATATATTAACATTTTCACAAATATGTACATTAGAATTAATTAGTCTCTCCTTTAACGTTATTTTTGTGTCACTTTTCTCCATTTCTCTTTTCGATGGACTCTTCAAAATTTGCCTGGTACTTCAGTTTACTGCAAATCTTTTGCCCGTGTAAACTTACAACATTTGAGGGCATACGATCTTATCATTCTTCTGATAATATCTCTTTCTGAAAACTGACCTTCCAGCGGATTCTCTTTCATGCATGCTTCGTGCAAACAATCCTTTAGGCCATCGGCGAGCAAGCAGACATTCTGACAAGTCTTCCCACCGCGAAGCAATCACGCAATGTTGAATACTCTTTCGAGATAGAAGATTTGAGTGTATTTGGTTTTGATGTTGTTAACTGCTATTATACTGAGCATATAAAGGTTCCATAGCTGCTCAAGTTATCAAATCACTACGTAAGTTTCTAATTACTTCCAACTTTTCAAAGTAAATGTCCTCGAAGGGCATTGCACCATCACACATGTGATTCTACCTGCGGATTTAATGGCATCTTCTCGTCATTAGAATTTACCTCCGACGTCTTTCCTGAAGTTTTCCCATTAACCTTATCGATTACGATCGTAGGCAGCTGGGATTCTTCAATGCTTGCAAGTGAGCTCCGTTTCAGGTCTCCTAACGGAGCACAAGTGTATTCATCGTCCAGGGGTTCTGGGCAACTCTGCTCAAGTGTGTAATAGTAAGTAAAGTTGTTTACGATAACAGGCACAGGGAATGCGATCGCCAGCACGCCCAGCAGAACACAAAACGAACCAACGAGTTTACCACCTTGGAAAATAAAAGAGGCATACATTATAAACGACATGATAGTATCCTTGTAAATATTCCAATTTAGCATAAAGTCAAGTCAGTAGAATTGCCTATATTATACCAGATTCCCCACAAAAAATTAACTAAACAAGGCGAAGGTGATTCTATTATCTCAGCAGCATCATATTCTAGACGTTTTCAAAGGAAGCATTGAGCAAAACGGTACCAATTTCATTCAGAAAATAATAGACATTCTCTTTGAAAGCAAGTTAAATTTTCATATACTAGGAATTGCATAGGAAAGATTTCCTACCGAAATAGAGCCTAATCCAAAGGACATTAAAGGCATTTGACATGCATAAGTACAGCGAATCCAAAAATAACTTAGGCCAAATTGATCAGAGCACGCGCACAAGAATGGAATTGGAAACTGCTCACGTTAAACCACTGCGCGCTGCTCTAGGATTTCACCGATTTGCAGGAAGACGGAAAATTGTTCACGTGTTTTTCTCTGTGCGAAATTTGGTTGGTCAACCGCTCGCGGTCGAGTGGCTGTAAGCCACTTTTACCTGTGTCAAATGCATTTAAGGGTAAAGATTTTCGTGAATAGATAAGGAGTAAAAATATACAATGGAGCGTTGATGTATTGATGTATTGAGAGTTTGGTACACAAAAATACACATCGTCTAACAAGAAAAAAAGCATGATAACAAGTCAAGCAAACAAGAGGAAGCCACTGTTCCATTACGAATTGGTAGGCTTTTGGATTAAAACGTTTTGGTTCCAGAGAGAACAATACAGAGCAGATGTTTCAGGGGTTTGTTTTCCCATTCACATATCTGGCTTCTACAGGCATGGAAGCCTGCACTCAAAGAAGGCAACTGGGCAAAACACCAATAAAAAGGGCAAAACGATAGTAAAATACAGAAACATGTTCAATTTCGCGAAGGCAAGGGGATTTGCCACCGCTACCCCCCCCCCTTGGGGCAGGCGTCCCGGGAAATAGAGCGAGGACGCTTCATATTTAGGCGCCATATCTATACCTATTTTGTAAATTTATAGAGGCTTTCAAACATATTTCGATGTCCACTGTAACCGAAACTCTATTGGCACAGAATTGCATGAAATGATAATTCCTTTAAAAATCGGGCAGTTTCACATGTCATTCAAAACTTAAAGAAATTAATCAGGAGTGTTGTGAGAAAGGCTGGAAAAAAACTTTCGCAAGAACTGGACATTACGATTTTATTTTCTTCTCAGCAAACTTCGAGAGGGGAAAGAATGGAAAAGAATACTTAATTTCAGACAGAAACTGGATAAGCCAGTTATCAGAATGGAGGTTAGAGTGTTACATGAGCATTGATAAAAACAGCGTTAATGTTTTATCAATAACATTGAAAACAATTTGCACTAAGTGGTAAATATTGCACATTGACTTTAACAGCAGAAAACAGTGAAAACAAACAAATATCCACACAATTTGACAACAGCATTGATCTGTTTGTGAAAATTGCATCATGGGATAAAGCACAAGACCTCTTTACAACAGTTTTTAAGCTAGTTGGATATGCGTAACAACAGAGCAAATCCGAAAAACAAAGTTTTAAACAAACTTAGAGCCAAGCGCGTATTAGCGAATCTTATTAGCCCATATCCGCTTAAAAAGTCTTAAAGAAGATAAAGTTGGAGAACGCATCTCAGGATCTGCTGCAGAGACATACAATTAGCAAGAGTGGAACGAGCAAATGTACTGAGATAAAATGTGACACGACCAGGGTGAGACTCAAAGCGGAACCATCGACACTGTGCATCGTTGCTCTAGCATAAGAGCTACCCTAGTTTGAGTCCCCTTAGCTTCACAGCATCAAATAGAGAAAAATATTTTCGTATTCTGCAGATTTTAGAGAAAAGAGCCACTGTGTATAACGTAAAGAAACCTACCAAGAGTTTCGGGAGCCATGTCACCATACCCCACTGTTGTCATAGTAACAATAGCCCACCAAAATGTGTGTGGGATGCTTTTAAACTTGGTGTCTTTGACGCTTTCTTCGCAGTAGTAGGCTGCAGATGAAAAAAGGACAATGCCAACCAGCAGGAAAAAGGCCAAGAGACCAAGTTCTTGCAAACTCGCCTGCAAAAAAAAAATAGTTGATAATCGACAGGGGCTAAATACGTCACTGGTCGAGAACATTTTACATTACATTTTTTTAAATTTGATAAAGGTATCCATGACTTTATAGGCGCACAGATAATAACTTAGTCAAAAGTTGATAAGTAGCAATTCAGCTTCTCCATTATCAAAACCTTTTAATAATAGAAACAATAGTCGCAAAAGCCTTTAAAATAAAATAAGGTAGAAGCAGTAACAGTATTAACCCCATTTATGTAACTCTAACAGAGCTAGTAGCTTTCGGTAATTGTCTAGATAGTTAACAAAACAATTTTCAAGACTTTGCATCTGTAGAAAGGTAAATTATTGAGCTATAGTCAAGTTTTCGGCAATTTCATTTTCCATGGACATTGAAACCAGTGAGCTAAGCCTGTTTTGGTCAATGGTAAAGCGAAGATAATACTTTATGAATTTGAGCTTACTGAACGATATTTCGTCTGATGCAACATTAGAAGGCAAAGTCAGAGACAAACTTGATGCAATGAAAAGATTGGGAAATGAGCGTTGCAAATTCAAATGCTTAAGCTTGTTCACAGATAAAACTGAACTGATAGTCTGGAGTCCTTTGCGTGGAGGGTAAAACCTGAAGGGGCCAGTTATAGACATGCCTGGGAGAGACAATGTGCCTGAAGGATTTTTTAACTTTGAATTCTAGGACATCTTCTTTGGCTCTACTAACCGCCAAGAGCCCTAATAACCAGTAAATTCAGTTGTTTTATCAATTCTTCATACTACAGTCATACTGTTATTTCTAGTCACTTGCAGTCTTGGATGCATAAGATAGCAAGAAAAAATGCTAAAATAAAGTTCATGCAAAGCTAAAACTAAGCAAAATCCACACTTTCGGTGTTCTCAAGAAGAAATCGTTATAAATACTAGACATTGCCTACATCTCTCTAAAGAGTAGATAATTTAGGTGTCTTTTCAAGGGGTACCCATCGAGTGTGAAAAAACAAGAGCTGTAGTGGGCCAAATTCTCTTTACGGTTGCCTTCACGTGGCATAACTTTTCCTTATAGTTTGATCTAATATAGGTACTTCGTCTTGCATCAAAAACATAATATCTATCAATTTTTAGCATTGTTTATTGATGCCATATTGAATTACATAATGTTTGTGCTTGTATTGTAGATTTAACGCAAAAATGAGGCTGTGAGTTGAATTGGCTGTATTAGGTGCTTCGTCTAATTTGTTTATCTAAATAAGAATAACTTCGCATTGTTTATTGGTGCCATATTGAATTACAAAGTATGGCCAATTTTAGGCTGGATACAATTCTTTTATAATGTTTGTGCTTGTATTGTAGATTTAACGCAGAAATGAGGCTGTAAGTTGAATTGGTGTATTAGGTGCTTCGTCTAGTTCGTTTAAAATAAGAATAACTTCGCGGAAAACAGGTCTAGCCTCATATAAAAAAAATTGAAAAATGAACAATATCTGTTTAGAGATTTGAAAATTTAGAGAACAGATTTTATCAGCAAATTAATCCCGCAACTTGAATGGTTTACAAAACTGTTGTAGTGGTCTTAGAAAGAATTCATAGTATAAAGATGTGGAGCAATTAATGTGGATAAAAACATTTTTATGATGCTATCTGGTATTTTCGTCTATTTTTTTGAGATAATATAAGCCAAAACTATTTGCGGTAGATTCTATGCTATTGGCATTTTTACTAATCGTGAAGTATGAAAGGCCGCCTCTTTTTTTATGCGCCTCCTTTGAGAAAATGCCTCAAAAAAGATTGAAAATATTTTAAAGAGCAACCCAGGCGTAATATGGTATCTTAACAGCTCTACATATCAAAAGTCACTTGATTCAATGCTGTTATCAAATAGATAATTCTAACACAACTTTAAAATATGTATTCAGTTATTTTGTTATTTCATATTTCATGCTGGGAACCATAGTTATTTCATACTTCAAAACCAAAAAATCTAAATAGTTATATTTTCTCCCCGAAAACTTTAACTATCTCATATTTCAATTTTCCCATATAGGCGCTCTTAATTTCATTGCGGATTGCGGCATTTGGTTGATTTTTGCACGGTTTTGCGGCTTTTGCCCCCCCTATAATAGGCCCCCTTTAAATTACCAAAGAAGTAATAGCCCCCATCGCAATTTCAGCAACCAAAATAGCCGCAATTTTAGCAACCATCGTCTCAAAAATTTTCCTCGGACCACTTGCTTTCTATCTTTCGTTTTGACCCGGGGCCTATAAATCCTCTCCGCGGCCCTGATCACACCCTGGCCCTTTTGAAAGTTAGCTTGATAAATTTTTTGTGCTTTGCAAAATTTCCTGAGGGTAAGTAAACTAGGGACAATATTTTTTCAAAGGTAACTTCGACTGTCGAAATAACATTAAATGAAGCCCCTACCCCATCCCTCTAGCCAGGAAGTTAAGGAATGTCACTAGTGGCGGCGCCAGCTGCTGCAGAGTGGGAGGGTAATGGGTGTTGCCCGTGAGACTACGCCCTATTTGCCTCGTTTCAGTGCTTTGTATCAGGTCAAATTTGCTTAGGAAATATGATCTACCTCTACCTAGTGCTTTTTTATCCGTTTTTAGACAAAATATGTAGACCATGTTTCGACAAAAGTCGTCCCTGAATGCCACTATACATCAACTCATTATCCGGGAACCTTTGGTGCGCCCAGAGGTTTGGGGAGAGTTATTGGTCGAAACTTCACTGAATAAGGCGAATCTTCATATATGCCTCACTGCGAGCTCAGAGAGAAATTCGAGCAATTTGCGACTTCTTTGTTGGGTTTCGTTGAACAATAACACATATTTGCATAGTTTGTTATCTCAGGAACAGTTTGATCTCTTCAGAAAATATACGATAGAATAATAACAACGAACAAGACGTATTATTATGACAACTTGCAAATAATCACGTGATCATGGAGCCTTTATTATCTACTTTGATTGATATTTCAATATCAGAACAGATTCTATAAATAAACGGATACAATATCAACAACCGCATTTCAAAGCAGTAAACCACTAAAATGAAAACATTTCTAATATCACAGAAGAGTTATATATAAATCAATACTTCAAATAAGCACTGAAAATTGAAATCATGTTTAATTCTTTATCAATAAGTCGACAAAAAAGGTTTCATCATAAAACAAATAAAGATAAAAGTGCGGAAGACTGAAGCTCAATAAAAGTAGATTATGAAGAAATAATCCCAGTTTTAATGAAAGGATTGAGCGACGTGAACAGGAAACGAGAAACTGCTAATAAACTGATTTATATTCAATTGAACTATATGATATTCAGGATTATGAGAAATCCGATGAATATGATTAAAATTCCTTAACGATTAAGCCCTCAAATTTTTGATGAATTTTGTTAAGCTTTGTAGTTGCTTTGAGCTCGAAATGAGCAGTGGCAAGGCAAACTGTTACGATTTCTGAAACAGGACCTCTTCTAAGTATAAGTTTTTAATTTTTCACGTATTTAAAAAAAGCATACTACACACTTTTTTCATAAAAACCAGTAAATTGAAGTTCAGGCTGGCTGTTCTTAATCATTCCAAAACCATGAGGATGGATTGTCTTTATTTGTTCTCAAATTATTAGGTGGTGGGCAGTGCAATCGCTAGCTATGGTGGTGCTCAAATCAAGTGTTCAGGCCTTGTTAGCCAACAAAGAGAGTGAGACAATTTATTTGCTAAAAGGTTTGAAAATTCATAGACAAAACACCCGTAGATGACCAAAATTCCTTGCATTATGTAAGAGGTTCCTTTTTAGGGAGGTTTCACAACTTTTTTCAAAGTTACATGTTACTGTACCTCAGTCTCAGCTTCTTCTTAAATTTTGACTAGATTTGAGATTTGACCAGTTTTTATAAAATGGTGTAAAATAAAAATAAAAAAGTGTGTGAAATTACGGCGGCAATATAAAACCTCAAAAAATAGCCTTCATGGTTGCATTCATTTATTTTTCAGCAAAGGATAGTTTAAAGAAAAATATGCATTTTTAGCAACTTTGGTAAAAGGGGGCACTCAGCCGGATGAGAGAATAGTCTGTTGCGCATAATATGTATCAGGCTGATCAAGACAAATACAGTTTAAAAAAATTGCGAAGGAAAAAGATGACTATATGCTTACACGACACTTATTATCAACATAACAGATAGAAATACGGCGAACCAACAAGAGGGTGGATGTTTTAGGAAGGTCCAAATGTCCTCCGATATCCAAGTGATTGACTTTTCAACGGTTGAGTAAATCTAGTGACCATAAGACAATCTACCACAATTAACCATAAGAGATCCAATAAAGAAAGTCCAGTATCAGTCTTTTACGCTGAAGCGTTTTCATATGAGATAAGGAAGAAGCAGCCTCGTTCACGAAACACCAATCCGATTTGCAAACTCGTTTTGAAAAAAAAACTTTAAACATTGTAATTAACTTTTGACTTCATTTTAATGAAATAGACTTCGGTGGTCGAAATGAGGGAAAATTGCGTCATCGGTGAAAATAAAAACTCGCGAAGCATTTGAACCAAGAAAACGCTCCTCTCACTAACTTCGCGTCTTACTATCATCTCACTATGGCTTACACTACGACAGCTTCTCTCACACACACAATTTTTGAACACAGAAAAACATTATATTTTTGAATGTAATCCATTGTTCATTTTCGAACACAGAACATTCGAGTCACCAGACTTCCATCTAAAGAAGAGTGTTTAATGTTCCCTCACGTCAAGTAGGATTGGGCGGGTGCGGGCAAAACGCACGAGGACAAAATATCACCGAACAATATGTCACGGACAAAACTCCACTGGACAAAATGCCACTCAGACGAAATATCCTGACGGTTTTTTCATAAATCTTGCCAGTGTCTCGTCGGTGTTTTTCATTTCCCCGTCGGTTTTCACCGATCACCAGCCGTTACTTCGACCACTGGACTCACTCCATGAGCCTCTGTTTTGCTACTGCCTCACATAACG